CGGAGCCGACCCGCCGGGGTGGGTGCCCCGGGGCAGCGGGGCCCGGGCTTCCAGAGGTCCCGTGTGGGCGCCCCTCGTCGTGGGCGCGCAGGTGCCCGCGACGCCCTGGCAGCACCTCTCATTGCCTCGTCAGATCCCACGGCGGTCGTGACTGATGCCTGCTTTGTGAGCTGCTAAGTGCAGATGATTAAGATGCTGGCCCAGTCCTTACAAAAATAAAATGTTCCCAGTGGGAATTGCAGCACTTGCTGAGGTAGCTCTGATTGTCGCTAAGCCACATTTCCTTAAACTTGGTGTTCCGCTGCGCTGAGCAGTTTGAAATTCAGCTTTATGCAGCGCTCTGCTAATCTCAGGAGCCAGTGGTTGGAAGGCCAAAAATGCGCTTCTACGCACCTGATCGCAGAACCTTACTTTATGCAGCTACCACGTTCGTCCCTCCTCATATCCATCTTTAAACATTTTCATGCCGGTTAGCCATTCACCTTATCCTTATGTTTCATTTGGGCATTGTAAATTCAGAATTAACAAGTTTTATGATTAATAACAAGTCATAAGACTTTTATTCCTTCCCCTTTCTTTGTCTCTTTCTAGTATATGCTATGAGTTTATACTGGCATGTATTCAGGAAAATGTCTTTACTTATCTTGGTGGAATAATTTGCAACAGATATGTAACAGACATGATGGACATACACATTACACAAGTGGATGGTTAAGTGCATTTGTTTACTTTACTGAGGCATCAAAATAATGGAGTCTACTGAGAATGAATTGACAGTGTTAGACTGCAAGACCCGGCCAATGCTTGATGTGTAATGTTTTTGGGTGCACTTGGGTTTGCTTTTAATAAGGTGGTTGGGATGCACCTACCAATGCCAGCAAATCTTTATATTCCTGTGTAAAGTTCATTATGCAATGATGGCTGCTAGTACAGGCAAGTTATAATATAGGACCCTTTGCTTCTCTTCTGTGATCGTACCTGTTACTTCTTTCCCATGTCCCTTCTTAAATACACCATCATTTTGACTGTTGGAGGTGGAAAATAAGTTTGTTTTTTCGCATCTGCAGGACACTTCCAAGGCAGTAACAGTTTGTATGGCTTGCCTAGAGAGCTCTAGCTGACTGAAGATGCCTTATGCTTTCCATAAGCATGAAAGCTATGCAACAAAACCCTTTAATAACTGCTTGAGCAAACTGCCAAAAGAAGAAAACTAATGTGCAGACAAGCACTTTCTTTACTGAAGGTGCACTTCCATGCTCACTATGGTTAGTGACATGCAGTTTGGCAAAGGAGCGTAAATACTTCTAAGAAATGTTTATTGGTGAAGTAATTCTTCATCAGTAAACCTGTTTGAAATTATAAGGACCTCTTTTAAGACATAATTTTCCTAATCGTGGAATACAAAGTGGTATTCAGTGATCAGTAGTGCTTGATGCCAGAAAGTTAAAGAAAACCAGTGAGGAAGCTTCCTCCATTCGGTGGCTATCTGCAAGCTGCTTGAGGAAGTAGGAAACCAATGTTTGGCAGCTGTAGCCTCTTCTGCTGGTGAAGAGAGTGTTTTATTGGGCAGCAGTGGGGTGTTCGTTTCAGCTTAGCTCAGGTAAGAAGGTAGCTCACTTTTATTTAAGAGCAGCAAGAGACCACGTTTTTAGGAATAATAATTAGGGAAGAAGCTAGAGCTTTCAGATATAATTTCCTGAATGGTAACCAAAAAAAGCTGACTCGCTTTGTGCACTGGAGTAAGCCAAGTCATTAATTACATCTGTGTTGTCATCTCTAGTGGATCTGGTACACTGACATCACCTTTGTTTAATAAAAACAGTGTTCAAACACTGCTTTCCTGCATTGCTAAAGGAGCTGCTTTTCCACTCGGAGCTGAATTCAAATGCAAAAATTTTTACTTATTTGTAATATAATAAAATACTAGAGTTAATAATGTGAATGTGTACCTTTAAGTGCCATAACTACTTGAGCGCATACATCCACCTGGCTACCAACGAAAGGGCCAAGCTGAGATTAAACTAGTTTTGATTGGCATACCTCAGCGTTTACTTGCCTGTGTTAGTTAGCCTCTTTGTGTGAATTAAAGCAACAAAGCAAAGCCCCAAGAAATGGCAGCAGATGTCACCTTTAGAGTTGCAAAGACAACTGCAGTAAAAAAATAGTCCGCTTGGAAGAGCCCTGGGGTTGCTTCAGTGTGCTCCAGCAGATGGGCCATCAGCCAAAGCCCGTGTGGGGAGCGCTTCCCTCCGGCTGCTGCCTCATCCCAGGCAGAGCCTGGAGTCCCTCTTCCAGGACTAAACGTAGCCCTGAGAGCTGAAGCCACCAGCCCGCTCACAGTCCCTCCTCTGCAAATGGTGTACAGTAGAAACAGCTTGTGCTGTGTTTTGTAAAAGGAAATCGCGAAGTCTTGGGATGATGTGGTGATAAAATCCTGTTAGGTAAGGAGGTGCATATCACCTTCCATTTGCATGAGCAAAATATCACTTGCATTAAAAAAAACTGAAGAATTGCTTACTAGATAAGAGTTTTTTCCATTAATTGCTGAGGTGGATTATGGATTCTAAGTTTTTAATTCATCTTTTATAACCTATTACTTTTTCAGAGTGAATATGAAGAGGATGCATGGATTTGAAAACTGGAATACCTCATAATGTTGAGGTTTTGCAGGGTTTTTTTACTCCTTAAAATAGCCCTAAGTCACAGAATTTTCATACATGCATAATTGTAGCAGAGCACCGCCGCTTGCTTGTTTTGGTGTTACAGCAAGGACTTCTATGCAGAATTTGTTGAATCTACTATCATTAATTTTGAACAGAACTTTAAAGGCATAAGATCAGTTGTCCTAGAGAGTAAAAGCTGAAATTGAATTACATTTTCCGTATGCCAAGGAAGAATATTTCAGCAGTTGTGATACTGTACTCCGTTTGCAAAATCATTGCTCAGGGAGAGGAATTATTGTAAGGAACATGGTCTTTTTGTGGATGAGTTATTTCTGCCAAAGTATAACTCAAATTGAATGCACTTACCCGAGTTTTTCTGCCAGACCAAATCAACTTGGTTTAGTTAAATATTTTATAATTTTAGAAACCAGTCAGAATTATTATTCAGTGAGTGATAAAAAGTTTCTGTGAAGATCAAAAAGGACAGATTTTGGTATCGTAGCACAGCTGATTAATTTTATATTTCTTTTTGTTGTTTCATATTAAAGGCTTATATGAATCCCATAGCTATGGCCAGAGCACGAGGTCCTGCCCAAAATTCGGGACCAACAATTCAAGACTACTTGAACAGGCCAAGACCAACATGGTAAGTGACAATATTTATCTGCCCTTCTGAGTGAAAGATTCGTTCTGTCTTACTAAGTTGATGCTGTTACCTACCTCCTCCCCAGAATACCCAGTAATACATTTTGAAAAATTCCTTCTCTCTGGCCAAGATGTTATTTTCTAAATATGTGTTCAATCTCGTCTTTTTAAAACAGTAGTATTCCACTTTGAAATACATATTTCTCATTTGTCTTTAAATATTTTGACAACAGTTTCTCAGAAGAGGAAAACGATGGTCATTTTACTTTTTTCACAAATCCTAATGCCTGAAGCCTGCAGATGTATTTAATTTTTAAACAAAGTAATCTCTAGAAAAACATTTTGCTGGGGTATATTCTTAGAACACAGTTTATCCTACCCAACAAAATCATCACTTTGGGGTACTATCAGCAGCTTAACTTTATGTTCAGTCCACTTTGCCTCTTCTCATAAGACATTAGAGAACGGTTTACCTGATTGCAAAGTTAGCCTTAGATCTTTAGGAGGGATTTAGCCACCATAGTTAAGTTATAAGGGTTAGGTTACCATATGCATAACATCTAAGATGCTTTCATTCTTCTTTCTGTTGGAAGTTCAGCCAAAGCTAAACTTAAAAAAAAAAAAACCACAAAAAGTTAGACACTGATTTTCAATTGTGAAAATTGTGATCTGTCATCTTTTTTATGTAGGGAAGAAGTGAAAGAGCAACTAGAAAAGAAAAAGAAAGGATCCAGGGCTTTGGCTGAGTTTGAAGAAAAGATGAATGAGGTTGGTAATGTTATTAACATGTTAATACTCGATTCTTCTTGTCTTATATGCTGCTTTTCCTCCATTGTAATTAACAGCACCAAGTAACCATAATATTTCACTTCACTCAAGCTTTTAATGAATAAATGTTTTGTTTCGTTTCTGTCGAATGTTGAGGTTACCCCTTCACCAATGAAGAGCTACTCTCACTTCAGAGTAACGCTGTGTAAAAATTGCTGCTGAATAAACTTGAACTTTTCATAAATATAAATATAGTTACACAAATATGTATGTTCATATTAATAAATGAAACAGGCATTTTCCAGTCTGATAAACTAAAGGGTCATGTGCTAATGTTCAGCTGCTTAAAGTTGCACAATTCAAATATATTAGCAAGAGGTATATTACTGTACACAGACATCTTGGCCAAGGAATGTACATGCAATACTGATATGGGAGAAGACACAAAGAATGGCCTTCAATATACAGTTAAGACTATAAAGCACAGCTTGCTTTCTCATCCTAAGCTGATTAGATTGTGTGCTGGTTCACTGCTATAAATGCAGCTGATGATTGTGTTCAGTACCTACTGGAGATCAGGGTGGTATGAGGAAGTTTCACATATAACTCCTGTCATATACATCAGAATAAATTAATGTATTGTTAATTTAACTGTTCCTTCTTGGGTTTTGGTATCTATCGAGCAGTAATCTTCATAACTGTATGCAAGTTTCTGGTTGAGGTAGGTTATGCTCCTCCTCTGTTACTATGCCCTCTACAGAGGGCGTAGTACCTCTGCTCTTGATATACCTTTTTGACTAAGAAGTTATACCAGTATTTGGAGGGTCATGGGATTCTAAGAGAATCAGTTGTTCTGCACTCTCTGAGTTTTAGCTTGGTGAGTTTGGTTTAGCATTTTATCATATTTCTTCCCTGCTTTTATCTTTGCTTTATTGTGAACTAATTGAAATTGGCATGAATAGAAAGTAACAGCCTTTGAGTATGGCAGAAGGGTAGGAAGGGATGCAGGGAATCATGAAATGGCCATGAGTTCTTCCTGAAGCTCCTAAGAACAAATTTCTGAATGGCTGGAAAGATTACAAGTGTCTGGATGAGGTGCTCTTTCTCCTGTTTTACTGACAGATGTTGTGGTTTTTTGGCTAAGACATAACACTAGCAACAGTCTTAAAATAATTTAAAAAGAGTGCCTACCTGATAAAGCACAGTCTGTTGTTAGAGGCCCCTCAGGTAGCTTTGGGCAGCTGGTATGTGAAAATACACAACCTGCTGTAGTGCTGCGTAGGTGCTGCCTCGGACTGTGGAAGCACATTACGCACAGCACTGTATCCTGGCTGGTCTGCCATGTGTTTCAGCAGTGCTATGCAGCTCATCCACAGCATGCTGACCTGGGGATCTGTGCATCGTAGTGCATCACACAGGTATCATCTTACCTAATTCGTGGTATTTCTGTCACTTCAGCACATGTGGATTATTGTTGCTTTGCCAGTGCTATACCAATACAGCTTCAATGTGAGGAAAGGGAGGGTCAGAATAGTAATAATAAAGGAGCAGATGATGTGTCTGACACGGGAAGCAGGAATAGTGAAGATTGAAGCTAGCAACCTTGCAGTCTGACGGGAGTGGGTTGGATGTTTCAAACCTTTTGAAGGGAGGATTTTAGGTGGACATAGAGAGCTTTTGTGAGGGATTAAAATGAAGGAATGACAGGAGACTTATCTGGGCAGTGTGCTTGGCCTAAGAAACACAAGAGTGTTTCTGCTAACATGTCTATAATAATTTAATACTCTAATCACTGACAAGGCCATGGATAGACACTAAAGACACCCATACGTTGAAGAAGGGTCAGGAGAATTTGTCTTGAAATTTTGCTTCAGGTAATTTTAAGACAAAATAGCAATCCTTCTAGTAGGGTGCCCTGGCTTTCTAAAGTACTCTAGCAGGAGCACTGTGATACAATACCAAAACCACCATCATTGATGAACTTGAAGACAAATGACCGTCTCTTAAATCCAAACAGCTTGAACATTAAGGTGTGATCTAACATGATATGTCAGTTTAATATTAATTTTGTGTAAAATAAAATGTATTATAGCCTTGGTTAGCATTATATGTTGTTTATTTTCTGTGGGTTTTGTGAAAAATATATAATGTCATGTAGAGGACATGATTTCGAAAAAGGTCTCTTAAAAAAAGCTGTTTGGACATGGCATTTGTGTCAATGTTTCTATTTGGTTTTTTTTCAGAATTGGAGGAAGGAACTGGAAAAACACAGGGAGAAATGTCTGGGTGGAAATGAGAGTTCCTCCAAAAAGAAAGAGGTGAAATATTTTCAATTTCATACAGTCTGCATTCGGAAGTGGATTTAACTTCGATGCTGCCAAGACAGAATGTCATAAATACATTTTAAAAGCCAGCATCAAAGTACATAAACCTAAATGCACAACAGAAGAACATGATGCCAAACTAACACTTGTTTTATTCTATTTTTAAGAAAAAGAAAAAGGAAAAGAAGAAATCTAATAGGGTGAGCAAAATTTTCAGTTTTCTGGTTTTTTTTGCTTTGAGCTTGTTCCTATTCATCATTTAAGCTCTCTTGGAAAGAGAGACTGTAGCTGTAATTTTGAATTTAGCTGTTAAATCGACTTTTTCACTTGAGAGGTAGCTTACATTTTATACAAGGAGAATTTTACTTCTCCTTAAAGGGGGGAAAAGAGCATTAAATAATTAAATGAAAAATGTTAGAAGTAATTTTTTATTGTTTTATTTACAAAAACTTAAGAAATTAAGATATTTAAAGAAATTAAACCTCCTGGAAGTAACATTTCATTGATAATACTGTGTAAATGGAGAGATTTTAAAGGAAGTATTTGCATGGACTTTTGACTATTTGCCAGACAAAATGCTGCATCTCACAAGCTTCATTTTTTGTTGTGTTTGGTCAAGTTGTCTTCATCTTCCTCTTCTTCATCAAGCTCTGATTCTTCCAGCAGTTCATCTGATTCAGAAGATGAGGTAAGAGCTAACTTACTAGAATCTCATGTGGTCTGTTTGTGAAGCTTATTTAACACAGATTTTAGTAATACACTTTAGTATTATTTTGAGGGCTTGGTTTGCATAAAACTATTTTAATTTTTATGCATTTAGTAATTTTAGATATTTCATGCATTTTGGTGCATTTTAGATATCTGTTAAACAATTTGTTTATGGACACTATAAATTTTGAATGGTTGGCTTGTAAACTGGATCTGTTTCTGTTTTAACACTGGATTGTAAGCATACTATTTTTACTTTTTAGCAAAAATACTTGTTACAGATAATCATATTCTACAGCACACATCTAAATAATAAACAGAATCTAAAGAACCTGGATTTTTCATCAGCTTACTTTTTTTTCCAATGCAGAAGAGCTATTGAAGGTCCTCCGCTAAATGAATTAATTGTAGTATACTTTATTCTTCAAAAGAACATGATAACATGTAGGAATTTGGTGTTCCCCATTCGTTACATTTAATGTAAGTCTTTTGTTCTGATGAGAATAAATTCAGAGTTGTTTTTTTCTTTTTTTTCCTACAATATTTGGGGATAGGATAAAAAGCAAGGGAAGAAAAGAAGGAAAAAAAAATATCGCTCCTCACGGAAATCTTCAACAAGCTCAACTTCTGAATCTGAGTCAGACAGCAAGGTAAATATGCAGATGTGTTGCCCTTGGCAAGTTTTCTTCATCTTTGCTATAAAGACATAGACATTTCTGACTTATGCATATCGTTGTTTGGGGTTTTTTTGTACCTTCCAAATTTAAAACCACACTTATTTGTTGTAGCTGAGCTGCACTTTTATCTTCCAGATGCAATCAGGAATCTGTCTCCACTGGCCACAATGCCTGGCAGGAACAATTTGATCTTTAGAAAATGAACATGCTTTATTCCAGCAATTGTTAGCCGTTTTTCTGAATTCAGACGCATACATCTTTTGTGCTTCTGAAATGTTTAGTTTTACTACTACATTTACACTTAAAAAAAATAAAATGTCATGTGAAATTCTTGTGAATATGTTATTTAATTGAACACCATCTGTGAAAATACAGATATTGCAGGATATCAGTGGCCAGAATATTGCCTTTCTAAATATTGGTAGACTGAGTAGTTTCCTTTTGGAGAATTGAGCCTTTCCCAAATGCATATGTAACTGAGGGTGTCTGTTTACTTTCCTGAAAGCAAAACAATGTACATACACAGGCTTTACTGAATGAACAAAAACCTAGAGAATACATATGAGGCAATTTGTTCTGTTATGTTAGCATTTTTCTGTGTTACAGGGGATAGTCACTGTATTTCTTGCCTAAATATTAATAATACAGCAAGCTGTTAAGATTCTGTATGTGGACTTTATCACAGACTTTCACTGGAATACCTAATTCAGTGTGGTATAAATTGTGATGGATGACTGTTTGCATACACCCATAAATTTATGCTAATGGGAGTTTGAAAGCTTTTGCTACATAAAGGGACGCAGATACCCTTACTGTTGAAATTGGAAAGCGGAAAACTCCATAGAAATACTTGCTTAACCCCTCCCTGATCAACAGAGATGGGCACAGAGAGAGCACAAGGACTCCAGAGTGTTGTATGTTAGACGTATGGTGTATGTAGTTGCAGTAGTGACAGCTGGTATCCTTTCCAGAGGCTCTCCACGTGTATTGCAAGGACTCTGGTACCTGATTCCGTAGGAATCTTTTTACACTGCTGGTTCAGGAAATTAGCAGCTGTATCAAAATTATGGCTTTTTCATGTTTTCCCTTTTAACTACAAGGTAGAAAGAATAACTTCGAAGAACAATCTTCAATAGACCGAAAAAGACAATGGGTCAGACTGCTTTTGGGATTTCTATCTTCTTGAAACAATTTTCTCATGGTTTTATGTTCTTCTTTCTATTTAGGACAGCACAAAAAAGAGAAGGTCAAAGGAGGATTATGAAAAAGAGAAGGTATTTTTACTCTTGAAATACTTACATCAGAACTGCATTTTACGTATATAATGGAGCTCTTTTTTAATATCAAATGCCTAAATTTACACCTATGGAAGTATTCTGTCCAAAACTACAGTCAAAAGGTGTTCAGTACCCCCAGTTTGAGGTAGGATTTTAGTTGGGTTCACCTCCTGTTTTAGTAATTGTTGTTAGTGGAAACTGCTGGATCTGTTCTTGTTATGAAGGTAAATGGAAAAAAAAAATGTATCTAATCTGCTGTAGTAGATCGGCTGCATTCTAGTATTTTGGGTTTTATCTTGAGCAGTCACACTGAGCTAAAAATGTGTGATGGTATTTCAGTGGCATGCCTGGTAGGATACTGGCTTGTTGCTGTAAATTAAGGAACATCAAGCGGAGGATATATTTATCTAAAGGTAGTCGTAATTATAGCTATTGTACTTATGATGGCTTTGAAGAAATCCAGAAAAAAATGTATTGGCTTAAGAAAAATTACCTTATTCTTTCTTTTCTCTGAGCATGAAAACGCTCTCTCCTTCCCACCACCTCACCATTGTGTACACAGATCTGAGGGCTTTCTTCCTTCCACTGCATTTAATGCAAATCTCATTGACTTAAATTTCAGTTATTTTTACCCTACGTGTAAACTAACAATACTTTCAGAGTCCACCTTGGTCTTTCTCTCCAATTATCTTTCTTATCACATTGACCTCTACTTACTCCAGTCAGCAGTGTTGACTTTGTTGTACAGATTCTGTATTGCATAAGGCAAATGTGTTGATTTTTGTCCCTTGCTCCTGCTTCCATTTCACAGAGCTTCTGTTTGCCACCAACTCCTTTTAGCTTTGAGCAGCTTCTCTTCAAAGATCAAGGTGTCTACCATAGCCCTTTATTCTTGGTTAAGCTGCAGTGCTACTTTTACACATCTCTGAAAGCAAAGGGCATTTGTGGACTGGATGTCTTCCCTGTCTGAAGATGTCTCTCAAATGGGCTACATCATGTGTATTTCTCATCAGTACTTTTGGGAAAGGATTGATGTATCTATAATGGATGAAATACCACAGCTGAGATGTGTCATCCCACCTTGCAAAATGATGATTAGCAATGGTTTTTTTCAGTTTCTGGCCTTAGAAACTAAATGGAAGAAGGTAGCTTCAGTTTTTAGTACACCTTGCCTGGTCCAGAGCAAAGGAGGAAGTGGGGATGGGGAAAGTAGCTCATCAGAGCAATCTCATGCAACATAAAAATTTTTAAAATAAAATTTTTAAATAGGCTGTCCTTTAAATATACTGAGATTATATATAAAGTTTTGGAAGTGCAGCTGGCAGGGACAGCTTGTCCTGGTTGGACACAAATATAGAAGGAGCTGTTTCTTTCAATTTCTTCAACAAAGCAAGAGTCTGAAACTGCTGTGTTTGTATGTGTATATTGAGGCATCTTCATTTACTCAGTATTAAAAAGTGGTGAAACATCTTATTTTCAAATGCTTACTCCTTCATGTGTTATTATTTAAAATAAGAGACTATGCTGTAGCATACTTCCTCTCACTTTTAGAAGACTGATGTGTCTTGGTAACAAGAGAAAGGATTATACAGAAATAGATTATTTCCACTAAAAGCATTTTAACAGTTGGTAGGCTGATTTGTTGATGATGAGTAATAGTTTAATGTCAACAATGTTGAAAAATATGTTACAATTTAGAAATTGTAAATAGAAATATTTAGAAATATTTCAGTTAGTTTTAAGCAGAAGTTTTATAAAATTTGAAAGGCTTTAAATTTACTCACATATATGTTACTTGTGTAGGAAGGCAAAAATCACCACAGGAAAAGGAAGAAAGCTGATCGTGGTGATGGACCTTTATCATCAGAATCCATATCAGAATCGGATCAGACAGAGGAGGTCAGTGTGAAATCTTAATTTCAGACGTTGCTTTTAGCTGATTCACCGTGCATTCTCATGAGTGAATAAATGAACTAGCTGAGTTTTAATACATTATTGTTGAAACTGTTGTGCGTTGTACGGTTCAAAGTTGTTTTTCTCTTTAATAAAAACTCCTACTAAGAATTATTTAGTACAGCTCCCACCACCTCAAAGTAATTTTGAGTTAATTTTCTTGAAAATTTTCAACTTCTAACAGATATTTTTAGAGCTCAGTGAAATGAGGCTAAGGGATTGGTGTGGTGTCCTTCACAAGATTTCCCTCTGATGTTTGTGAATAGATAGGCAGACCTCAGGAGGGATAGATTTTTATATTTTTTTTGTGCCCTTTCCAGTGAATTAAAAAATTTTGGATGTAATAATCTTACTCTCACCCTTGTGTATATCTACTTTGAGGGTTTGTATTCTTACAGGATTACCAAATTTGGGAAGGTTCCAATGTGTTGCTTTTTTCCATTAAGAATTTTTACCCCATTAGCTTAGGAATTTTACCTTTATATCTCTGCTATTTCTTGTTTTGCTGTGTGTTAAAAGCAGAGTGTGTTCCCAGATTGGATGTTTATAGGATAATGTGTACTCTAGAATATAACACAGATAAGCAGTGCTTCTTCATGGGTTATTGTTTAGTATGTTTTACCACTGTTGTGCCATCGTTCATTTATATACAACAAAAGCTCAAACTTTTATTTAAAACAGCATTTCCAAAGTTGCTTTCCCATTACATTTAATTTATTTTTTTAGGTGCAAGCAAAAAAGAAGAAAAACGAGGAAAAAGAGAAAACAGCAAGTGTCCTTTTTATTCATACTGTAGTTTTTAGAACATAAATATTTTGTACTTGGTTAATTTCTAATTTCATATTTTTCGGTAATACAGATGTGCTATAGCTACAGTCTACTGTCATGTGAATCTAAATTAACAATTTCTCTATTTGCCTGAAGTCACACTCTCAGTTGTTGAATTAAAGGAAGAATTTGTTACTATATAGATACATATGATTTGAAATTTAGAGAAGTTTAACATTATTGTAGCATATATTTTATTTACTCTGTGTCAACCCACTAGAAGCACTGATACCTATCTAGTACTGGGTAGGGTAGCAGTTGGCCACACAGACATCAGTGCTATTCCTTTTAGTGTTGTGTATAATTCTTCCTTGGCAAGCTCCCTCTACCAGACTATGGTACAAGTGCTGGAGATTCTAGCCAAGTGTAGTTGAAGTATTTAATTTTGCACAGTAAATATAAGCACTTACTTTAAAATATGTAAACATCCTAGTTATTCCCACACATGCAAGATGTCACTGCTTGTCAAAGCACTTCCTTATTACTTTTCAGAAATCTATAAAGCACTGACGGTTGTTTAAAATGTTAGGAAAGGTAATAGTGACAGTGATGTGAGGTATGAAATAGCCAGACCATGGTGGAGATCAATTGAAGATTGCTAATAATAGTGCAAATATGCAAAATATTAATTTTATTTCTGTGATTTCTCAATAGGTTTTTATAGAAATCTTTTTTCGAAATTACTTTGTGAAGATATCCTTTCCATGGCGTCACTTTGCATTAACAGAATTTAATCAATGGCAATTTCATTCTACAATAACTTCCATTTAATTTATTTTTTTAGGATAAAACAAAAAAGAAAAAGAAGCACAAGAAACATGGTAAAAAGAAGAAAAAGAAGATTGCTGGTTCAAACTCGGATTCAGAATAATATTTTTGAAAAAACAAGACTATCAACAGAAGTGCAATGACTAAAGGAAACTTAAACTGTGAAATGACAGCAAACTTTACCAAACTGCATGAGTTTTCCTGTGTTTTAGAAATATTCCTAATCTTTCGGTAGCCAGCCAGATGCAGCTGTGCTGGGAAAGACCATTGCTATTGCCTGCTGCTTAATACGTGAGGTACAACTTTTATAAAATTCCAGTAAGCAGTGTTAGGTGTTTGAAACAATATGAGATGGTAATCCAGCTGAGGTGTAAAATATTGGAAAGTAAGAGTTAAACTTCTTAGATAGTGAAGATAGTCTTTTAAAGCATTAGTAATAGTCTTTATTTGTAATTCAGGACAGATAACATCCCGAGTTCATCCTGTAGGTTAATATTATACATGAACTATTACAAGCTGGTGTCTGCTATTAACATTTACAAAATGGGAAATTAATGATAACATTCTAAATGCTGCCTTGTAGAAATGTTTATCATCTGCCCCATTACCGTCTTCATGCTTATGAGAAAGGGAATGCTACCATTTTGGCTAACTGAATAGGGTGCCTTTGCCTTTGATTCTTGCAAATCTGCTATTCTAATCCATGCAGCGTCTGATTCTAGGGAAGCCAGGACTGTTGTCAGCAGACCTTTTTCTGAATAAGCAGTTCTAGGCTTCTAAGCATGTGCTTCTGCATTAAGCAAGAGCAATGACATTTTGCAGTATAACTGACATTAAAAACCTGAAGATTTTACCTCTCCTTTGAAATAGCGATAGATCTTTGCTAGCAAATATGCTTATTTCACTTAATGTAATTTTGGTTTAGTTGAACACTTCTTCCAAACACTGGTAGCTTTCGTTGCATTACCTTCAGAATTGTTTTGCATGATTTGTACCGTTTCTAGATTAATGAAATGCAGGTAATCATTTGTTGTAACCAGTTTTGTGAATTACGTTCCACATGCAGAGTTTCATGTATGTATTTAGTTACTCTTGTAGTTCAGTTCATTGCTGTGTTCAAGTGCACACTTGCTGAAGATATTTAGCATGTAAAAAGCAGGGTTTTGATACCTTAACAGCTTCATATTGAAGCTGATTTTACTCTAGGCAAGTTCAGTGGCAGACCTGTTAAGTGATGTGTCTTGTTAGATAAAAAAACTACTGCCAGAATCTCATTAAAGATACTGTTTAAACAGTTTGTATTTATATTTTTGTACTCGAGGGCTACAGAATGTTGACCTAAATCATAAAGCTGTTTTACTTTAGTTGCTTTAGAAACTGAAAAACAAGCTTTTATAAAGTAAATGCGCACGCAAGAAAACACAAGCAACCATTTGATATTAGTTTATACATTAAATTCTCAGATCTTCCATTGAAGTACCCATTGCTGGGCCTCTTGTTAGCCTTTAAAAACCGCCCGTCCATCCCGAGTGGTCAACTGTAGATTGTACTCTTGATTCACCCCTTTTTTCTTTGCACAGGTGCTAACTTAGAACTTACCTCTGTTGCATACAGATGTTTTAAATATTGTATTGCCAATAATGTAAACACCTTTAAGACCTTGGTTATTAGTCTGCAAACAATAGCTAAAAACTGAGATGCAAAGATAATTTCTCTGTAGAAAGGCAATATGAAATTGACTTTTCAAGTTAGGTTCTTTGGAAAATACAACCATTTAGTTGCAGCGATGTCCCTCTAAACCATAGTAAGAATATTTTGTTCAAATATTTTATACTGATGGGCTTGATGTTACTGATTCTAGACACTGTTTTGTCAGGTAAAAATAAAGGCAAGATGCAGTGAACAGTAGGGGTTTGGTTTGGGGTTTGTGTTTGGTTTTGTTAGGGTTGTTTTCTTTTTAAGTTGTGGTGTTGCAGTTTTGGTAAAAGAACTTGTAATGAGCCATAGCATATAAATGCTCTGTCCTATGTGATACCTTATTTGACTTTTACACAACTACCTGCAACAGAAATAAACAAAATAGAAATGAGACCCCCAGTCTTCCAAATTCATGCACTGGTACGTCATTTTAATTGTCTGAATATAACTGTTCTGGTCACCTGTATGCCTCAGATGCTGCTGTCATGCTTTGGACGTGGGATCACTGCTCAGGGTGCTTATGGGCTCTGCCATTTCAAAGCAAAAGCTGCTTTAGTACTGATGGTGACATGTTTCTGTTTTCAGTACATTAGCAAACACATTATGATTCCTCTTGCATCCTCTTTTTTCCTGAAGGAAGAGCTAAGTCTGGTCTTGGCCTCTCAGCTTTCACAGTTGGTACGGGTTGTGTGCATCGGCAGGTGAAGTGGGCTTCAAGGGGCAACAGGCACCCTCAGGCATGTGCAAAGTTTGAGTAGTGGGGGAAAAAGTAGAAAATCAGCAATATGGGAATAAAAGTACTTTAGTAGATTTCTGTCTTCTGACAGCAAGTGGAGAAACTGTGTTCTGTGGTACTTAGGTTTTAGCTTTTATTTCTAGAAGCCTTTTTAGACGTTTGAAACCGTTATGTTCTTTTCTACAATTGCTATTCTTTAGCGTTTGCTAAATTTCCCTTCGTTATGGCCGCCCGTCCGCGGCCGCCCAGCCCGCGTTGCCAGGGCAGCGGCGGCGGAGAGAGGCCG